TCTAACATCTTGGAGACCAGATAGAACGTGTGAAGAGTCAGGACAGAGGGTGGGGTTTATAGGCACCTATATAAGTAAAAGCCTCAAATATCAGAAAGGACTGTCCCTTTTAAAATCAGGTCACCCTACTTGGAACCAACATGGCTACAACACGGTGTTCACTATAGAAAGCTCTGCATCATGGAAAGGGCCATCCAAATATCCCAAGAGAACCTGTTTGAAGGCTGGAGAGAGAACCCACTGACTGCACATCCTTAGCTATCATTTATCACACCCCTTATGGATTGTGGCATGGGATCATTAAATGACTACAACTCAGATTTGATGGGAAGATTTATTTCAGGATCTTCATCATCAATCATCATCATCAACAGTCATGGGCTCAATGCCCATTGGTGTCCAATGCCTCCCTCACTATTTCTTTCCATCTTTCCCTGTCCAGTGCGGAGTGGCTTAGTTTCTGTAGACTTGCTCCGCATCGGTCTACTACATCAGTCTCCTAAACCCCCTACAGCCTTCAAGCCACCACCACCACCACCACCACCATCACCAAGCACCTCACAGACAAGGACACACCAATTCAAAGCACCAGGCTCTACCAGAAGAGATAAAAAACCTGCAGACATCTCGGCAGCTACAATGCCCCCCCCCCCCCGCAATGAACCTCTCCAGATCAGTGGACCCTACCTCATCAAGTGCCCCAGCAACAATGGTGTGGGCAAAACCCAAATCACTGCACTCTAGGGAGCGCACACAGGAAAGCAACACCACACAAACGCAGTATCATCACTGGACAAACTTTTCACAAAGCAACTACTGCACACCGGACCTCAACACTTGTCCTCAAGGGAAACTTGCAGAACACCTTCAAAAGGCAAGCCTGCGAATTTAGATCAGGGGTGGGTAATAATTTTTGCTGTGGGTGAGGGGGCACTCAAAGAATTAGTAAATGATCAAGGTCCACACTCTAAGGATATTAATGGAGGGGCTGAAGGTTGGGTGCAGGTGAGGATTCTGACCTAGGGGAGAGGTGTAGGGAGAGTGCAGGGTCTGGGAGGTAGTTTAGACGCAGGAGAGGATTGTGTCCAAGAGCAAGGGTGCAGGAGGAGAGTTTGGGTGCAAGAGGGGGTTTGTGACCTGGGCAGAAGTGTGGGAGGGGTAGGAAGCTAGATGCAGGCTCAGGCTGAATGGCACTTACCATATGCAGCTCCCAGCAGGCAGTCTAGTGTGACCCTTGGGCAGGTTTCTTGGCTACCACAGCTCCACACACTACTCAAAGCAGCCAGTTACTGAGGTCAGCATGTGTCTCTGTGCAGTGCACCTCTCGTGGGGAGCGGAGCAGTGGGTCTTCACGTGCTGCAAGCACTGCCCTTGTAGCTCCCATTGGCTGGTTTCTTGCCAATGGGAGCTGCGAG